TTTTTTTTTTTTTTAGGATTGTAATACCTAGTGGATAGATTGTAGTGACAAATATTAACTTGTATTTCTTTAAATAAGGCTACAAACGATCCGAGCCAAGTCGAGCAATGACCTTATTGAGCAAGATTAATTTTTTTTTTAGATGCTCGAGCTCAACTCAATAAAAAATTACAATAGCTCGAGCTCGGCTCTACTCGAAACCAAAATACTCGAACTCAAATCGAAAATTTTTAAGTGAAAAAATAAAATGACAATTAGACCCTTATGCTAATATATATAAGGGGTATTTTACTCGAGCTCAAATCGAGCTTTGACCCGAGCGCTCTCGAGCGGCTCGCGAGACACTCGGTTCGTTTGCATCTCTAATTTCTTATATGTGATTTGATATGGGATATTATATACGCAAGGCTAAACCGGTTTGACCAGCCGGTCGAAAAGACCAACCAAGAGGAAGTCAAGCTAAAAGGCAGGAGGATCGATCATTTATATAATCGACCAGGCAGATAGTCGACCAAATCCATCGCTCGACCAGATAAGTGATCGAGCAACCTCTTCGACCTCATCAGGTCGATTGCTTCGAGGACCTAACAGTCGGCCTAGTCACAGGCGCGTGTAGGAACCTCTAACCGAATCTCAGGAGAATATTTACCCCATGTGCAGGGGGACACGTGTCGAGAATACATTAATGGATATCGATAACCACCTCTGACAGCTCCCCAACGCCCCCACGCAACCTCTGACATGCGCGCGGTGTGTCAGAGTACGGACGGGCAGCTTGGGCAGCCAGCTCATCTTATCCGGGCAGCTATTAGGGTAGGTATCTCACCCCTATATAAAGGGGGTGAGCCTTTCTCCCTTGACACATTCTATTCATTTTTCACTTCAGCATACTCATACACATACTGACTTAAGCATCGGAGGCTCTTCACCGGACACAACCCCCGGTGTGAGAGTTACTTGCAGGTTTCCGGCTTTCTACCGGCGAGGACGAAGATCGATCCGGTCCAAACCGGACCAGGACGCTCACACTTGCATTATTGGCGCCGTCTGTGGGAATTTTAGTTAAAAAGTTGTGTTTGAAGCTCAGCTATGGCGGACGGAATTCCCAAAAACTTGCAGTCAACGTAAGACGAAGCTTTGACGACGACCAGGCCGTTGGGGCACGGCCCTCCTCCAGGTTTTTCCGGCCCATCGCAGACACCGATCACTCCCACACCTATCCTTCAAGGTGTAGGAGTGACGACGGCGATCCCCGTAGGAGATGCTGGCTCTAGTCGGGCCCAGGAGGCTCGTGCAGCAGCCGCGGCGGCGATGCCACCGCCGCCGCCACCGAATCCGGCACTGGTGCAAAGAGGAGCGATGGCGCAAGGAGGAGCGCCACCACAGGCAGTCGTACAAGCTCCAGGTCAACAAATGGTGACGATGACCCGGGAGGAGATGCAGAGGATAGCGGCGGCCGCGGCGGCGCAGGCGGTGCAGCAAGTCACGAGCCACACATCTCATGCCACCACTGCGCCGACCACGGTGGCCGAAAACCAAGATGAGGATGTGTCTAGTTATGGAGAGGGAGGAGTTGGAAGAGATCGGGCGATGGCGAGGATGGCGGAGCAGTTGCGCCAGTTGCAGGACAAGGTGGAGGGGAGGCCAGAGAGGAGAGCTCGAGGACATCCCTTTTCAAGAGAGATTCCCGCTGCTCCTTTGCCGAATAATTTCAAGGAGACCAACTTGGTGTATCACGGGTCTTCTGACCCGTCGAGGCATGTAAGGACCTTTGAAAATATGGCTGTGTTACATGGATATTCTGATTCTGTTTGTTGCAGGGCGTTTCTATCGACCTTGCGCGGAGGATCCCTTGACTGGTTTCACCAGCTGCCCTCTAGGTCGATTGCGGATTTTGAGGATTTTGCCAGCAAGCTTACCAATCAATATTCGAGCGCGGCGGCGCATGAGAAAACGTATTTGACGTTGATGGAAATGAGGCAGGGGGAGAAGGAGTCATTGAGGAAGTATGTCGCTCGATATAACCAGACGTGTTTGGAGGTGCATTCGGCTTCAGATGAGGTGAAGGCGGGAGGGTTGGTAAGAAGTCTTCGAGCGGGGCCTTGCCGAACTTCCCTGGCAAAGACCCATGCTCGATCGTATGAGGAGGTCTTGAAGCGTTGCAAAAAGTATATTAATTTGGAGGAAATGGAGGTAGAGTTCGCAAAATTGGAAGGGCCGGCTCGACCAGAGCCAAAGAAGGAGCGAAGCCCACCAAGAGGGAGGTCGCCGAGGAGGAGTTCGCCCAAGAGAAGTGGGTCGGTCACCAAGGAGGGAAGGTCGGGATTCGAAGCGAGAGAAGAGGGACGATAGGTGGCAGGGAAGGCCATTGTTGTTCGAAAGACAGAGGTACCATAATTTTACACCCTTGAGGAAAGATTTGACAGAGGTGCTCGAGGCTATGGAGCAGAAGATGTCGACCGAAGATGTGACGTGGCCGAAGACAAGGTTCACAGGCCCGACTCGACCCAGATCGGATATATATTGTCGATTTCACCGAGATTACGGCCATACCACGGAGAACTGCAGGAATTTGAAGGATGAGATTGAAAGGTTGATTCGAGCAGGACATTTGAAAGAGTTTGTGTATCATGATAGGGCGAGAGGGAAAGGAAGGAGAAGGTGTCGAGATGATTCGGATGAAAGGAGTGATAGGGATGAAGAAGGAGACGACGGAGAGAGCCGAGGTGGTCGAGGAAAAAAGCCGAGAAGAGATGGAGATAAAGGGGGCCAGGGAGGAGAGGCCCCGATGAAGAGAGGAATGATTTACATGATTTCCGGAGGGCCAACGGATGGTGACTCGAATAGGGCCAGGAAGGAGCATGCTGAGCTGCGAAGAGGAAAAGAGAGGAGGTGGGGATTACAGGTCGTATGCCAGTGATAATTTTCAAAGGCGGAGGATGCCGAGGGAGTGGTCCTACCGCACAACGATGCTTTGGTGATAACCGCGGAGGTTGCAGGCTTTGACGTGAAGAGGGTGTTTATTGATACCGGGAGTTCGGTAGACGTGATGTTCTACGACTGTTTTGTGCAAATTAACAAAGAGTTGAATATGGAGCTGAAGCCGGTGACCACGGCACTTTATGGCTTCAGTGGAGGAGAGGTGGTGCCGATGGGCGAGATAAGTTTGCCAGTGGCGTTGGGAGCGGGAGAGCTGAGGAAGGTGCGCATTGTGAGGTTTGTGGTCGTAGGAGCTGAATCATCTTATAACATCATTATAAGGCGGACGAGCTTGAATGCGTTCCAGGCGATCGTATCCACGTAACACATGACGATCAAGTATCCTGTGGGCGAAAAAGTAGGGGAGATTGCCGGGGATCAACTCACTTCAAGGAGTTGCTATCAAACAACGGTGAGCAATAACAAGCAACTGGCAAAGAGGCAGGCCAAGTCGAAGGAAGAGGAGGTTAATCGACCAGGTGGGTCGAGGTCGAAAGAGGATAAAAAGAGAATGGAGAAGGGTAAGGAGAAGATGGATATCCAGCCAGGAAGAGAAGTGGAGGAGATTCAGATGATCGAGGGGTGTGAGGAGAGGAAGTTCAGAATCGGGAAGGACCTGGAGGAGCCTATTCGGTCGAGGCTGATCGATCTAGTTAGGGAGTTTGCTGACATTTTCGCCTATACAGCAGAAGAGTTGACGGGGATAAGTGCGGAGGTGATCGAGCATCGGCTGAACATCGACCTCAGTGTGAGGCCGGTGAAGCAGAAAAGAAGGCACCATGGGGCGGAGATGGACAAAATCATTGAGATAGAGGTTGAGAAGCTATTAGGAGCAGGGCACATCAAGGAGATCCAGTTCCCCGAATGGTTGTCGAATACAGTGATGGTGTCGAATGCAGAGGGAAAATGGAGGATGTGCATTGATTTCCGTGATTTGAACAAAGCATGCCCAAAGGATTTATACCCACTACCTAGAATCGACCAGCTGGTCGACTCAACGGCGGGGTACGAACTGCTAAGCCTGATGGATGCCTCCCAGGGATATCACCAAATTCCCTTGGCGAGAGAGGACAGAAAGCGGGTGATTTTTGTAACGAGTCGAGGAACCTATTGTTACGTGGTCATGCCCTTCGGCCTAAAGAATGCGGGC